TACATACTTAGAAAAAAAATTTCTTGGGATATTATGCTGACTTGAAGCGTCGTTTCTTTTTGACAATTTATTTTTTTTTTTTTTTTTTTTTTTTTTTAAAGTCAAAAAACTGTCATTTTGGTATCGTTAAGTTTAAGTTCCAAATACAATAACAAAAAAACGTTTCTTAAACTTAAAAAAAAAAAATCCTTTGAAAAAAGATCGATTATCAGGGTGCTCGCAAAGAACATCATAATAATAGATTCTTTACCATAGCTTCAAATGGGATAATATCGATAGTTGATTATCATGCCTCGCCACTGAGCTGATGCAACCAATGAATAAGAGCGTCATTTTAAACGGTTTGGAGCCTCGAGAAACACCGTGTCAAAACTTTTGAGCGTCTGCGATGTCTCGCCTCAGAAAGTTGCGGTGCTCAAAAGTTTCAGCGACGGACTGAACTTTTATAATTCATCTCTTCAAGTGTCCGAGTAAATCAGCGTTTAAGAGTTTTGAAATGCATCATGAGCTCGCAACTCACAGCGGCTTTCGGGGTAGAGATTTTGCTACCGGCCTGTTCCTCAGTACCAAAATATTGTTGATAACTTTGTAATTTTATTTAATCTCATAACTTCCGTTTTCTCGGGTGAAGGTAAAGAGACTGTGATTGGCGTTTCTGCGTTCTTTCGTGATCTTCCGCTTTTTGCTGACGGGGTGAACATTTAATTTGATTTCTAATCTCGGGTTTTACTCTCGACTCGTAGGATATGCAGCGCGGCATGCTTTGCGATATATCGATTAATCTGCCATTTAATTCTATGAAAAAGGGTCGATGAACAGGGTGTTCGCGACGAACACCTTAATAATCGATTCGTTACTGAACCTTCAAATTGGGAAATATCGATAATCGATTGTTCACGCTTCGCCACTGAGTATATGATTTGACGAGCGGTCTTCTTTCAAGTCGTTTGGCTAATATTTTGACGGCGTAACTCCCAAACCACGTATATTTGTTATAATTTGTTTTCAAATAAAGATTTACTCAACGTAGATTTTTAAAAACTTCCAGAATTTGTCGTCTTCACGCTGGAAAAATTCTGTGAACACTTTGAGGAATGATGTTGATTGTTTCTCCTTTCAGAAAGTAACATAAGAGCGGGGATTTTAAAACACCACACACGAGATATGTGGTTTGGAAGTTTCACCATCGACTTTTTTCACCCACAATGAAAACAATAGTAGGTCGGCTAACATTTCTACCCAAAAAATAAGTAAAACGGTGCCCTTATCTGCGAATTTCGGTTTCAGGACATTTTGTCAACGATTTTTTGTCCGCGCACCTTTTTTGTCCAGTAGTTTACGCCCACACGTAAAATAAGCAACGGTGACTTGGTTCAAGCGTTATATTTTAGTCGTATGTCAAATTATATTGACAGTATGGAAATGAGAAATTGAGAGAGAAGGAGATATTGTTATGGTTGCTTATTTTCTAAATGAAATGTTATTACTTTCTCCTTTTGAATCATCTTTTTAAATTGCCATTGGTGAATATTTGGTTTTATTTCTATCCTTAAAATAGTCGATGTACAATATACCCTATATGTGTATAGGTACCTTTTTTTATTTTTTTAATTTTTTCTTCACGAAAGTATTACTTCATTTTGAAAACATTTATATTTTTAAAACGTGACAAATATTTGCAAAACCTTTTCCAAACGACATTAATCTCAATAAGCAGCAGTTGTGCCGACAGAAACTGCAAAAATGAATAAAAGAGGAAAAAAATCAAGAAATACGAAATCTTTAGTTTTAACCCATTTTTACATCGATCTTTTAGAGTCAAATACGTCAAATTTTGAGCGTTTGGTTGCGCGTACATCTCACTGCAGCACAATAAAAGCACAAAATGTAAAAGAAAAAATTAAAGTGCTTTGGAAATCATTAAATTTGACACGGAACCACCAATATTTAAAAAACACACATTATATTATTATTCTCCTTTGATAAATTGATACATATTTTTCCCCCATCAATTTAAATGAGAATAATCAGTGCAGAGTGTGCAAACATTTGTAAATCCTGAGTTAAAAAACGCTGACTATGCGAGTATAAATATTAAAGCCTAAGAGAGCGGAGCGGCGTGCTGCCAGCGCGAGAGGCTCACTGGTTCCTACAAACCTAAGTGGATACTTCACGCATTGCACAATGCTTGAAGTATCCGCTTAGGTTTGTAGGCGCCAATGCGCGTTTCGCGCTGGCCGCCCGCCCGCCGTGCGGCGCGGCGGCGCCTGAAGCAACTATTTCACAACAGAGGTGTTGCACAGCATTATACGAAATTGAACGCATTAAGAATGACAGGCATCCTTTAATAGTGCAGCTCTTTCCTCGCAAAATAAATCAAGATACTTATCGTACACTGGAAAAATCTAAGTGGTCTAGCTGAGGCAAATATAGAGGTTTATCCGGTTCATGTATAACAAGGTGGGAAAATCTTGAAAGATGATTAAGTCCTGTTGCACCAAAGAGGTGTAGAGAGTTTTGGTGAATTTTGTCTCATAGAATCGACGCTCCCCCATTTTTACCAAAACTCTCAATTATATATTATTCTCCGTTGGACCAAACAGACCAAACAAAAAAACAAGCAAACCCTCATTCTCCCAAGACATTTTACATTTTCACCCAAAAACTTCGTGAGCAATTGTCGTTTGTATTTACATTTGGGCCAATTAACTTTGGGTCTCAACTCGCACGTGAACCAAAACTTCCGTGCCGAAAAACCGCGCGGACGTAAATTACTGGAAAAAACAGGTGCGCGAACAAAAAATCGTTGATAAAAAGTCCTTTAACCGCCAATCTCTGCTCTAGGTGTTATTTGTATTGCGATTATCACGTACCCAAATTGCAAGTACAAAAAAATGCAGAACACAGCGGATATTGCTGTCGTGCCTAACATGAAGTGAAAAGGCCATGTTTATGCATTAGCAACTAAAATTTGTCAATTTTTAAATATCCAAACAAACTAAGGGTCTTCAGAATGGTTTATGAGAAGTAGAGGTTTCGTTCAATACAGTTTTTCGGTCAGACGTTACTAATTTTATTTCCTCAACACTATATCCTCGGTAACTCGAAGGTATTTTTCTTACCGTGACCTTCAGAGACAGTATACTTAAAAGATTCCGCTCTAAATCGTTTCAACATCACCTCCCTACCAATAGCAGGTATTCGGTGAACGAACGTAGTCAGGTGACATTGATCATAACGTATGGATACAACTATACGTGCTCCAAGGTTGTCCGTGTTGCATATAGAGACAATTGAAGGCGTTTTGGCTGCTTTTGACGGACGCACCAAGTGACGTTGAATATAACGCTTGGGAGCAATTATTCAAGGTTGATCCAAGGTTGTCCAAGGTGCGTACTGAGAAAATTGAAGACATTTTAGCTCCTCTTGTTTAAACAGTTGTCCATACTACGCTGTACACTTTAATGTAGCGAGTAACTCTGCTCCCTTCGGAAGTTGAGCATCTAAGTCCTATCAGTGTTGTTTCTGCCGGTGGCTATGCACGAACCATCGGTTATCGAAATGTTCCCTCTCGAAACTATGATAAAAAATTGGTCTATAGGGTGGATTCTTAGCTTTTGCGGAATGCACTCCAGGCACGATCGATACAGAAATAGAGATCTGAGTGACACCGAGAGAAACAAAAGTAATTTTTTCAGTTCAGCAGGACACTTTCTTCATCGTCCGACGAGTAACCTACGGTTTTGGTTGATTTAACCGAAAGTTTGTTTGATCTGACCATGTAAAGAAAAAAATAATTCATTAACCCGAAGTAACCATAAACATGGAAAGCAGAGGTGTCGATAAGGGCCGTTTTTAAGGCGCGCACTGACTGAAGATTTTTGGCTCATTTAAAGTCTATATTCTAGGTAATACATCATGATTGGGTCCTTTCCGGTTCCTTTCCGAGTCTAAAACTGGCCAATTTATGCATATGCAGACAAATTTGGGGTAGCTAGACACTTCACCCATTTTTTCTTACCCGACACCTAATTTGGCCAACAAAAATCGAAGTTATGCTTTGGCTGTGTTGCTCACGTAGTTCTTACAAATAAGATACAAATAAGACAAAAGGAGCTAGCACAACATAGAGACGGAGTGAGAGAAAGGACTCAAATTTGATGACGGCTTAGAGATACAACTATTCGTGCATGATGTATGTCCGTGGTGCACCTGCAAAATTGAAGGAGCGAGTTCGCGAGGTGTGAACTCGCATTGCTCCGCTTTATTCTGCCAATGAAGTGTCGCTCAGATTCGGAAGAAAAGTCTTAAAAAAAGGCCCGATTACATCTCTCCTATCTTCGGCTGTTTTTCTCATGTGGCCCATGAAGCACTACTACAAATAAGACAGGCGGAAAATACACAACGTGGAAATAGAGCAAGGGGAAGGTTGCGCGTTGGTGACGACGCAGGGATACAACTATTCTTGCTTGACGGATGTCCGTGTTGCATCTGAAAAATTGAAGGCGCTATGGCGCGAGCTCGCGATGCTCCGCCCTAGGCCAATGAACCGCCGTTCTGGTTCGGGGAAAAGTTTAAAAAACCAGGCCCAAAGGGTCTTTCTACCCTCGGCTGCGCTGACATTTGATTTTTTTCCTTTTTTCTTAAATTTGATATATTATTCTTCTAATACTTCCTATAAACAACCCTGGAAAAGAAACACATTGGATCTAGAGCCCAGACTCTTAAAAACATCGACAAGAAAATATACTCTTGATTGGATCAGATTTAAGCTTAAATCAAAAACCAAACCTCTTAATTCGAGCGGATTTCCTTTTGAATTAAGCTTAAATCTGCTTGAATCAAGAGTCCTTTTTCTTGTCAATGTCTTCAAGGGCCTGGACTCTAGATCCAATGTGATTTTTTTCCCAGTGAAGTCTTATCTTTACGAGGGGACCGAGTCCTTGCTCACAGATTCGCAAGAGCATGTATTGACATGGATTCGACATTGTGTGTTTCAGAATGCGACGGCGGATAGCACCCCGTCGGTGGGGGCGGAGGAGACTGAGGTGACGAGCGACTACCCGGGCGGCGCGGGAGTGGAGCCGACGACGACACCCACGAGCGACGCGGAGGGCCGCGAGGCGGGCGCAGGGACGAGCGCGGTCGAGCGACAGCTCCACGCGGCAGCGGGAGCCGCCACCAGGACCAGTCGGCCGGAGAAAGCTGCGCCAGATACTCCCGCCGGTTCATCTTCGTCTTCGTCTTCGTCTGCCACTCATGTAAGTTCGCTCGCTCTGGCCACCGCCGACCGTCCTTCGCCACACGGCTGTATTGCCGGCTTCATCAGGAAACGGAAACACTCTTCGGAATCGACCACTTGAGTCAGGGTTGCACGTACTGGAAAGAAAATTCGCTTGGATCTAGAGTCAAAACTCTTGAGAACATGGACAAGAAAAAATATTCTTGATTCACACGGACTTTTTGCTTGAATCAAAAGGAAATCTGCCTAAATCAAGAGGCTCAGCTCTTCGATTCAAGGAAAAATCGGATCGAATCAAGAGTATTTTTTCTTGTCAATGTCATTAAGAGTCTGGACTCTAGATCCAAGGGACTTTTTTTCAGTGTGGGTGAAATGAAGACTATGAAATATTGACAATTTCCGTGAAATATTTCATAAAATTTCACAGTTGTGAAAAATATGAAACACATTTTCGGGAGTTGGGTTTGCAACATGCACTAAAAAACACTAAACAACAAAACCAGGCGCCATCGATTTAATTTTGCATTTAATTTCGAAAAATATTTTTCATATTTTTCAACATTTTTCATATTTTTCAACATTTTTAATATTTTTCAACAATTTTCATATTTTTCAATATTTCTCTTACTTCTCAACATTTTTCAATATTTTCTACATTTTCCTGAAATTTCATGAAATATTTCACAAGAATTTTCAAGACTATAATTTTCATGAAAAATCGCAACCCTGACCAAAAAACCTAAAAGCCAATGCCACGCGATCAAACGGTGCTCTTAATATATCAAGATCAAATGCTGATCAAATGTGATTGGTCCAAGTCATCCAATGAGCCAATCACAACACCTGCCTTGATAAATTTATAGCACGGTTTTATTGCACAGGCGGATCCAGGGAGGGGGGGCGTAGACTGCGTATAGGGCGTGTGTCCCTCCCGTTCCCCCTAATAAATGGATGAAGAATAAGGGAAGAAAGAAAGAAGGAAGGGCCGAAGGGCAGAATAAAGTATAACAGATATATTTGGTGATGAATCATGACGAAATTGACTCAAACTGCATGTTGGATGCTTTAAAAGTACGGAGATTTTCTGGAGGAGCCCTCTGGGTCCCCTTCCGCCCCCGCCTCCTGTTCGAAGTGCCTGGGTCTTCCTGTGTTCGATCATGTGACAGCTATAGAGACAGATTGTGACCATTTTTGTGCCAGATTTTCATTGATCACGAAAGATACGCTGATGTGTCACTTACGGCTCATGGCCGTAAGTGAACAAATAAGATGGCATAGGCGGGTCCAAGGGGGAGAGGGCGTAGGGGGCATACGCCTACTCTCAAAAGTTCATGCGGCGTTTTTCCTCCGAATGACAGTGGGGTGAGGTAGTAGCCGGCTCCCCTCCCTCCCCCCCCCCGTGCGATTTTTTTTCAAAATTCCGGATGCTCTAGGGGTCCTTGGAGTCTGAAAGACAGATTTAGAGTGGCCCTAAGCGCGGAATTTTGAGTGTCATGAGGCCCCTAAATTTTAGTATTTTTGGCCCTTAATGACCTGCACCCCGGGCTCAAGATCGCTGATCAGACACAGTGGTAAAATATCATCTATCAGCTTAAAGTAACTACTAGAAAAATGATGCAAAACCATGCACAGGTGTAGATAGGAATACGAATAGGTAACTTTTAAAACACCAAGGCAACGGCGCGGCGCAGGTACCTTTCCTCGATTTTAGCGCTTAGCCCGCGGCAAGGTGCTGTCCGAGAACTTGTAGCCCCCCCCCCCCCCCCCCCCCCNATACCCTCTCGAGCAAATCCAGGGGACCTGATCGGAGACTTTGCATTCGGGCGGGCTCACGAAATACGTTTCTCTTTGTTTATGCAATTTATTTTCATCAGTCTGTCTTGAGTCATCTGTTGATGTATTCAAGTTTCTCCGGATGATGTAACAGGATGGCACAAAAAATATTGAGCTAATGAGAGTTATTTTACAACACCCGGGCGGTTTGTAAACACAGAGGTACTTTTCTTCGAAAAGCCGCTTAGCAAAAAAACTCGGTGCCAAGAAACACATGGTCCAAAGTTTGGAATGTTGTGTCTCAAGATTTATGGGATTTATAAAGATGCATTTTCTGTGGGCAGACATTCAGAGAGTTCTGAGCGTAATTTAATGACCTAGGATGTTTAGAAGTTGCACGTCTGAGAGTGAATTACTGAATTATCAGTACTTTTGTTTTGAATTCTCAGTACTTAAGTCATTTCTCATTGACGATCACACATCAATGCCTAAACTCGGAAAGGAAGAATCTCAGTTAGCGACGCTGCTGGCTGACTTCTCGTCCTACTTTACATTGCGTTGGAAAACTAATCAACATGATTTACGTAAAATTTTAGTGATTTTTCCACTTTGTATGACTCTTTGAAACATTTACAGTGATTAAGTTGGTTAGTTTCCTTCCAGTAAAATAAGAAAGATGAAAATATTTAAAAGATCGATATTACCTCAGTCGTTAACTAGAATTTCTTCCTAAAACGTCCAATGTGGATATTTGTTGCCTCTTTAACGTGAGGGCATACCTCAATTTTACGTGAGCCCTGTGTTATGTATAAATCCATGATTTCTGGGGCTCATGCAGAAACGCCCTCACGTCAAAGGAGCGTCGATATGAGGGGCTTAGTGGACAAGTGGAATAAGTGCGGTTTTTACTACATATTTCAAGAAATACGTATCTAAACTTCCAAAATTAAATGGAGCCATGTGGCGGAAAGAAAGTTCAAACTCATTAAATTGCTTAAAAATTGAATTCCAGTAGTGAATTTTCTTGGTGTATGGTTCAAGACTTTTAGTTGAATCTTTAATGACTCAATTTGTTTTTCTTAAAAAAATTGCGCTTATCTCGCTTGTCTTCAAAGTGCCTCATCATATATATTTGTCACTTACGATAGCCGAAATCTCTGCCTAATTCTGGAACACCCTTTTCTTCCTATCCCCCATTTTTGCTCCGCGATGTTTCGCGTGACCCGCAGAGATCCGCGGGGTTTCTTAGGTATACGTATACGAGGGTTCTCGGTTAGCACGGCATGCAGTGTTGTTGTATAGTGAGTGAATGGAGCGCGGTGCGCAGTTATTTGGTATACCTTTCTCTGGAGCATTGTTAGCGCAAAAGCAGTTTCATTTCATTTGGATGATTACCAAAGGAGTACAAGAGAGAATGAGCGTTTAAGTAACGTAGTACGATGGAAGTAGTGCCAAAACGGCGAACATATGCGTAAAAGAATTGGCAGTTCAGCGCGAGTGCCAAGGCGGGCACAACTGGCAGTCTCCGTAGTTGCAAAATTGCTTTTTACGTTTCGTTTTTGAGCCTTCCTCCTTTGCCGTTTAATAGAATTATTTCGCATGTAGACGAAGAAATTAAACGATTACGAATCTTGGTAAAACTGTTTTGAAATTTCAGCTTATATTTCATTTTTTTAAGTTACTACGGTCGGCAAGGTTGACCTAGTGCACGGAGAAAAATCTATGGCTTATAAACCAATTAGTGATTTGTATGGAACACCACTAATAGTAGCGAAGGCAACATATAAAACCTTAGTTATGGCATATATACCATACTATGGTACGAGTCACCACAGTATCTTTCACAGACCTATAATTACTAGTTCATGTAACTATTAATGGTCTTCCATATGAACCACTGATTGGTTTATAAGCCATAGCTTTTTCTCAGTGTGGTTGGCGCGCTTGACTCTAGGTCTATAATCTAGGTCGGGTTCGAATCCCGGTAGTGGCATCAAACTTCACAATCTGCGAAAGGAATATGCGCTTTTTTTACTTCATGCTTCAAAAACAACACTATGGCACAGGTGAACATTTGGAAGAGGAGTCGTTCCATCCAAACCTTGCGTACTTGGATGCAATATTCAACATGACCGATGCGATGCCAACCCGCCAAAATACGTGTGACGAGACGGAACCGACGTTTTTATATTTACATTTTGCCTACATTGATAAAGACCACGGTGCTTTCACCCATGTTGGATATTGTGCGCAGCATCCTAGTGCGCAAATGTTGGATGGAACGACTCCTCTTACGGAATGTTCACCGGTGCCATAGTATCGTATATGAAGCGGGAAGCTTAAAAAACGCATATTTCTTACGCAGATTGTGAAGTTAGGAGTGTATTTCAGAATTTCCTGATGAGTTTATCGTCATTTTGGAGAAATTTCCTACAAGAAACATCTCTTCTTTTTGCTCTAGCTAAAGTTTGCAACACTGACGGGCTGAGCAAGAACGCCGTGAATTCGTTAAGATTTTCCATCGTTTTTTGTAACTTTACACTTTATAAAATAGAAACAATTATACCCATGCACCTCAAATTTTCAGGTTGAGTTCTCGATAGTATTTGCGAAAGAATTCTGTAAAAACATTGCCCCAAGGTACACAAGTTATTCTGCTATGATACATTGTTTCCAAAAAGTGTAAAATGGCGTTTACGGCGTTTTTGCGTCGCACGGCAGAACAGGTCCATTCTGAGTATTAAGAGCTTCCAGTGCAACCACACCAAGAACTCGGGACAAATCAACTTTAGGCCTATCTTCCAGCGACCGCTATTACCTCGAAAAAAACTATACAGAGCCAGGATTATCACATCTCGCTAACCGTCGCTCCTCTGACGTAAGAGCCTATCTCCATCCCCATCCGAGCTCCGGATAGCATACGGTCATACGGCGAGCAGGGCTCAACTTGAGAAGCACTTACAGCCTTACGTCAGAGTGGCAACGTCATCAAGCGGCCCGGTCTCGTGAGCGAGGTGAAAAATTGAACCGCTAATCGACGAGATAAGCACCGGTCGCGGCGACCCTCAGGGTCAAGAGTGTTGACCCTAGCTCCTTCTTCAGTGTCAGCCGAAGTTCAGCGGGGATTTCAGATTCCGAGCATCACGCAACTTCCGGATTTCGAAAAGAGGGAAAAAACTGTCGACGGAGAGTGAGGACGCTCAATGGACTCTACGACATTTCACAGCTCTCATCATAATCAATGCG